GCTTTGTTAATTATTCACATAATTAAAATTTAATTTATTAAATCCATATATTGTTTGACTGTATCTAACATGAAACCTAAACGACAAAGAAATCGTGACTTTCCTGATCCTGTTTCGGAGGTACACGATTGCGGGAAAGTGCGTGGATTCTGGGACGCCCTGTGTACTCATTTCGGTAAACGACCGCATACCGTATGTAATGTGTACCGCATGTGATCCGCGGAAAGTCTATGCAGTAATCGTATCCGTGCACGTCCAGACTCAATATAATTACCATACGGATCTGCCACAGATTGCTTATTGTTCGTCGTCGATTTTACTTTTTTTCTTTTGGAGGGAGAGGGAAGAAGAGGAGGAGGTTCATCCCCTCACTGGCAGGGGATTAACGTTGCACGCGGATGATGCACGAGTTATTGTACCTTCACGGACGTCAACGTCGACGAGCGACGTGTAGGCTCTCTCTTGAATCGTTTCGCCGCGAACGATTTTATTCGTCGCAGAGCATGGTAAAAGTGCACTCACAAGGTAGCCAGGCACGTTTCCAACCTCCCCCCGCGGTGAATAATCTCGAAAAACGAATCCATGTTAAATACTTTGTTTTTATTTTAGTCGATTACTCTCGGCGTTCGATCGATAATAACTCATAATTTGTATAATCTGTGATGATTTGTGACGCTAGCAAGAATATATAATTTATGAAAAATATAATTCTTTACAGAATTTATTAATGATATTATTAAATCACTTGTCAATTTAATTTGTAATATTACATATTCCAGCTCAGTTTAGGATTGTACTTCCAGATCGATAAATAATAAATTGTACAATTTATACAAAATTATTACTAGGCAGCAAGACTCACTTTGACCAAATATGATTTTTCACTTTCTTGTATTTTACATTTTTAACATTTTTACTTACTATTATAATTTATGAATTATGAATATTGGAGGCTGCTCAAATTTTTTGAGAAAATAAAAACAGATTCGTAAGTAATGTCGAATTTCGGCTTCATTCCGTCAGAATTCATTTCGACATGATAAAAAGCAAAATATTGTACATTATTACACTTTTATATAATTAACTCTATGCAGTGTTATAAAACATTATATACTTGTTCTGCCAGAAAAAGCGCTTTTATTTCAGTGCAGCAAAACATTCGCGCGAGACAGAAGATAACCGCAATACGGCATGGCATAACTAATTTTTCGCATTTCTACGCTTTGTGTCTGCTTCCACTGTTAAAGCGGGAATTTAATAACCTCGCTGTAGAAATTTTTATGCACCGCAGTTACTTCGCTATTAAAACAGGAGTAATTAGCACTTGTTCCGCGTACGTACCACGGAAATTCGAGATAAGGGAACAGAGAAATTTGCAGAGATTCATGTTCTTCCGTTTCTGACGCATAAAGATATTCCGCGCCGGAAAATAGCCAACTTTAATAATCCTAAAATACTTGTTTACAAAAAATTAAAACCGAATATAATTATGTAATGAGAAAGAGAGGAAAGAATTGTAGAAAAATGCATGAAAAATAAAGACTCGCATGTATTAGTTTTTAAATTTCATAATATTTTCATGCACCTATGAAAAAATTAATTTATTTTAAACTGTAGAAAACTTGACATAAAATCATTATATGTATCATAATAATATAAAAACCGGAAAATCTATTTTATAACTTCCTCTCCTAAAAGTAAAATTTTACTTTAAATCTGTATACTCACATATTACATCCTTCGTTTTTTATTAAAGCGACTTCGAACTGACCGCGGTTCTTGAACGACCAATGTTATTACACAATATTTGAAATATTACGCAATCATTGATCGTCTGGAGATTATATTAAAATTGTTTTGAATTTTCTAAAGAGGATATCAATATTATACAATAATATTATTCGTCTAGAAGTCACTTAATCGAAATTAAAGAGCTATAACAGCTAAAAATAAAAATTTAAAACGTAATTTTATCTTTAAACTAAAAAATAGATTTTTCGTTTTGTATCACTATACATATGTAATAATTTTATATTGCTTTTATATCACTACAATACATATCTAATAATGTCATGTCATTTTTGTCGTACAACGAACAATGCGAGAGTGAAGATTTAGATGCAAGGAATGAATATCACGTGAAGTCACGTTTCGAGAAAAGAATCGACCAAAAGAGAAGACACGTGCAACCAAGAAGATCGGAATTCTGCATTTTTTTTTCGAAGAAACCGAAAACGCAACGGTGCACTTGCCTGATCAAAACCCGGTAATTATGCAACGGCATCGGCATGCACATGGTATAAAGAGAGACGGCCGCGGATAACAAGAGATTCTCTGCCCGGAGCATCGAAGGTAACGAGAGCGAGGATTGATGTCCCGTTCTGCAGGCTTGGTGCGCGCGATGCGCACACATCGAGAGAATTATTACGAGAGGTGTTCGCCATTAGAATAAACCACCCGACATTATCCGCAGTGTACGCATCGGGGAAAAAGAGAGACGTCCCGTCGTTAAGATGACGAGCTTGATGATCAAAGGGCTCTTATTTCGCGTGAGAATAGGAATTTTCTTGCTCATCCGGTCTTCTCGCTTCGTCCCGATTAAAATTAATTCGTAAAATACATCGCAGCTCAAATTGCACATTCATTACGCATATCGCACATTCATCGCGCGAATCGATCTTAGGCGACGCTAGAGTTAACTTAATAAGAATCTGTTAATCCGAGACAAAACTTTACTCTTATAATGTAAAAACGGGAAGTTTTTCGCATCCGAGTGAGTCTTCAAAATAAATTTCGAAAGAGATTTAACGAAATTTTATTTTTTATTTAACCAGAAATCTTGTAGAATTCTAACTAGAATTCTAGATCGTTCATTTTCCACCAGAATTTCAGTTAATTCAAATATTTTTTTCCGTGTGTGAATTTTCATGTCTTCGTATAGGCGTGGTACAGTAATAAAGATAAACATAAAGAAAAGAATTTTATTTTTCTCAATTTTTTATTTTTATAACTTCTGATTTATTTAATTTTTTATTTTTTATTTCTGATCTATCTAGAATTTTTATTACTGTATTAATGTAACTTTTGAATAAACTTCTAATTTTTCTGAAACTTTCTACTATTCTACTACACTGAGAAAAAAGTTATTACATGCGTTTAGTTCGTAGTGATTATTTAATTCAAATATTTATATATTTAGATTAACAAAATCTTGTTTTAAAACATGTTAATTGTTTAATTTAACAAATATTTATTTGAATTATTAAATATTTGCTTGATAGCCTGTAATCGCTGTATTTAATTGAATCAATCAATATTTTTTTGAAACAGCCTTTTTTCTCAGTGTAGTCATTTATTAGTATATTTATATTTATCTGATTTTATTTGCGATTTTGAGCGGCTTTTTTCTTCGTGTTCAAGTGAGCTTTCAAAATAAATTTTGAAAGAGTTTTAATATATTTTTTCCCAACTCTTTAATAACTTGTGATCTGTTTAGTTTTCTTGTACTTTTTTTATTTCTGATCTTTCTAAAGTTGTTGTTCTTTTTGTAACGTTTAAATAATGCTTCTAAATTTTCGAGAAACTTCTTACTATTTTCTGCTGCTTATTTCATATATGTACATTTACCTGACTTTATTTTGATAATAATCCATACTCATAAAGATTAAGAGATAATAACTACTGTAAATGTTTCACCGTCTAATCGTTACCTTCAACAACGCTTATAAATTCATCAATGCCACCTGTGTGTTCTAACGACCGAGTATCTCCCGTTTTGCATACCGGCGCTTAATTATATCGTAACTCACTCGCGTGCAGCGAGTTACTCTCGATGTATCTTCCACGAGCGCGCTTCAGATTTTGCACGCAGAAAGCACGCTTTCAAGCGGTACCTCAAACCTGCGTGTTATTCAAATGTAGAGGTACAGGATGTCCGGCTCGAATGTATATTTTCAACGAGTATCTTGAATAATTTATAATATCTGACCTCTTATCTTCGAAAAATTTAATGTTATTGGATTCGAATTTGGCTTTAAAAATCTTCGTATGTATCGACATACATTGATCGTCGAATGTTTTCAAGGCAGCTAAATTTAGTGCAACTTACTTTTTGTCTTTTTCTAATTGTAATAATTAACAAAAGACGAGTAAGTTGAAAACTGAGATTGAAAACAAGCATAAAATATTCAAAGACAGATGAATAGATATCTGAATTTGAGATTCTCTCTCCAAAATCTGAAAGATTCGAATCTCCATATTTTTAATCACATACGCGATTTCCTTACATTTTTGCTAATACTTTACTGACCTTTGTACTTTCTAATTCTGGCATGATCGAGTTAAAGAAATAAGTCTCGACACGCTGAATTCACATCAATTAAAAGCTCAACATGAGTCATGCTTGTCATGTTTTAAATTGTAGCATTCAGGTAGAACTTCTTGCCATCATGTACCTACTTCATCACACTATTATTAAAAATTTAATACGCATATTTTTCGCGTACATGTTGTACACCCAGAGAAAAGATTTGCAAAGTTTAATGTTATTTGATTCTTTAAATTTGACTTTAAAAATTTTCGACATGTATTGATCGAATGTTTTCAAGACAGCTAAACTTTAATGCAACTTACTTTTCGTCTTTTTCTAGTTCTAATAATTAACAAAAGATTAGTAAATACGTAAACGGATATAAGATATTCAAAGACGGATAAATATTTGAAATCATGATTTGAAGGCCATTTCTTAGATTTGAACATAATTTCTTTAAATCAAATAAATTTTATTTAATTTTATTTAATTTTACAAAATAATATTTTAAATCAAAGAAATTTTTTCACAAATCAAAGAAATTGTTTCTTTAATTGTATAGCAAAGAAACATTTCTTTAATCAGTTGAAGCAACCTGGGTGTATTATTTCTGTACCACGTTTATATGAAGACATGAAAATTTATATAAACATAAATAAATTCGAATAAGAAGAATAATAGTGCTACTTACCCGAAATCCAGCCTAATCACGGTGGACCGGCGACCTCGTCGATGCGGAAATCCGGGAAAGATGCACGGCGGCGGCGGATCATCTTTCGATTTTCGTAAATGGTCCATTTGCTCCGAGGCTCAGGCCATCCTGTAGACGAAACATGAAGTCATTAACAGGACAAGTGGTACAGACAGCGTAAGAAAGACGCCACGCAACAAATCACGATGCCATGTAAGGGCGAGAGGCAAGACGGAAGGGACAAGACGAGGGCCGACTTGATCGTCTTAACTTTCAGGGGGAAGGTTAAGCTTCCCATTTCTTTTTTTCTCATCCAAACGACGCGACCAAGCTTTAATGCGCCATCCGTCGTCACGCTGGCGCTTATTAGATTCGCTCTGAATTCCTCTTAAAGCTTCACGACACGTCTGGAAACACTAATAGCTCAGAGAGCCGACGGTTCAGCAATTATTTCAACACCGACGCGTGTCGCAAATGTGTGTGCATGTATGTCGACGACGTCGACAAAAAAATTAGGGCAAGCACATTCAATACGTTCTCTTCTACTGACTGTAATAATGTAGCCACTTTGTGGGACATTATAATTAAAGCGTGAGATAAATTGATTTCAAATAAACGACCTATCAATTATATTTTCTTACTTCTATATATAATTTAATGCAATTATTTTACATTCAAAGCTAGTTAGAAAAGTTATCTAGTTAATCAAAATCAATGATTTCTGCAGCAAGTCAAGTGTGGTAATTATTTGTAATCGTTATGTTAGAAAGCTAATAGATAACGATAATTAATCCGGAAATTGCATTACTGTCAAGAATTATCCTCAACAAGCAGATGAATGTTATCTATATTTAGAAGTTAAATCGAGTAAGTAAATAATTTTATTTTTAATTTGTATAATGTTCAATGATATCCATAATCACATCAAATTTCAGCGAAGCCAGAGTAATTATCGCGCAATATCGTCATTTTCTCTTATATACGATAATACGCAATTTTAAAATGTTTACTACTAACAAGGCAACTTCGGAACTACTCGATTTTGTTGGACTCTGGGTACATGTAAAGAATAAAATATTAGACTTATATATATTTTTTTATATGCTTATCGCAAGGTTTAAACATCACGCAATCCATCAAAATAAAATTTTTTTATTTTCGAAAAATGTGAATACTAAAAGTATAAAATACCATAAAATTTTATAGAAAACATTTTTTATATACCTCATAGTTTCCAAGATATTCGTTGAAAATAAAAAAAAATCTGTTATTTTCATGGATTCTTTCGATCTCTAAAACTTAAAAAAAACTTAAGCAGAAAAATATGGATACAATATTTTTTTATGCTCTATAATGTACACATCTAAAGTTCATCAAAATGAGTAAGAAACAGTTCCGATGATTTCCTTGTAAATTCTTAAGGAAATTCACGGAAAAAACGATTTTGTTAAAATATCTAAAAATTTAGCAATGCAGATTTAAAAGTAACTTTGACATTTCAAATTTCACTATCAAAATAATTATATAAGACTCTTAAACTGATTGCTGGAATATCAAAACTTTTTGCAGTACTTATGCTTAAAATTCTTACATAATTATTTCGATAGTCCAACAAAATTATTTTCGGATCTATATCTTACAGTTAAATTGTTAAATACTTCAGCAAAATCGTTCTTTACATACATAACAGTTAGTTAATGAAACGCACATTATTGTAATATCAAAACAGATATCACTTGCAGACGCACATCCAATCAATTTACGCTTTGTGATACTCTCGATTCTATTTTAGCTAACAATTCTGTTTTAACCAGACATCGGGAAAACTGTGATTACATGCGCGATTTGCGAGTAGAGCACTCGCAGATGAATTGGTCGGATAAGAGTTGTAATGGACACACAATTTATAGTGTTGATATATTAAGTCGCTATTTGATGGATATAAAGAAGATCTATGTTGCGGTTTTAGTCGCAAGACGTGCGAGGATCTGTTGTATGAACAGCTGCGAGGAATATGTGAGTGCGCAGAGAGAAGCGGCCCTATGATAAATTACAGGAAAAATTGATGATAAATTCGTTCTCCTCCGACATCGCCTTTTCCGACGCGTTTGATATCTTTAATTTTATGTCCACCATAACAGCCTTTAAACGAGTAAATACATTCAAAAATGTAGACGCAAGCGTTATGTCGCACCGAAAAATAAAATTATGTATGTCATACGTAAAATATTTGAAAAGTAACCGACTACATTTATTTCTGCTCTATTTGTTATTTATTTGATAGTTCTTTTGTAGCATTGAAAACATCCTGATAATTAATACCATATGTATAATTTTTAATGTGTCACGTAATTATTAAAAAAAAAAAAAACATTTGTCATGAATAATTAATATTTCTAATATACGTAGTATAATATTCAAGTAGTTAGATATTTTTATAAACAAACGATATTTCTCATCAGTACATATCAATATTAATTTTTAAATGCAAAGTGTATCTTTTCATCATAAGCCAGTTTTTTCGACTAAATTTTTTTGCATTATTCATCTTTTTCTTTCTCTATCGTCAAAGAAAAAGACGAAAGATGAATCGCACAAGAAAAGAAGGGCCTTATATACATATATATATAATTGTGAGGTTTAGAATTCTTACATAAATATGACATTCCTAGAAAATCGATAAAAGTAACTTACGTTTGAACTTACGTTCAAAAGTATTATAAATAGATAAACAAAATTTAATAATAATTATTTTGGAGTAGTTGACTCGCTTCGTTCACTCACCGTCGTGCCTGCTCGCCTAATCCCACTCAGCAGGAGCGGCAGGTGGACCTTCCGTCTCAGCCCACGTGGCACACATGTCCCGTAACCCTCACGCAACCCCGCGTGGAAAAAAGGGTTACACGTCGCTGGTCTCGTTCCGAAAGTACACGCAACCACAACAATTGGTCTCCCTTTCGAAGAGGAGATGAGACAGGAAAGGAACCGCACCACTTTGTTGAACCAACGTGGAGATGTCAAAGGGTTGCGACGAACGAGAAGGAGATACGAAGATGCGTACACGCTCGAAAAACGAATCGCGGCTTCCGGCCTCCGCGTGAACTCGGCAGGAAGAACGGCGGGCGTGTGTAGCGCGCACGAACGCCGCCGCGACAGGAGTGATAGTGGCGAAAGTGGGAGACCCTCCAGGAAATATATAGGTCCGCGGGGTGGTGTGGTGGTGGACCACACGAGCGAGAGAAGGGGGAGGAGGCTCGCGCCGCGCACGCATCCCTCTACGCGTTATGTTGCGCTGTGTATCTCACGGGATGTATATCGCTATTAAATATTCATATTATGTCAATTTATGATATATTATTAATACAATTTGTTTTTAATCATTTCTTAATAGGAGGACTATTAAGAGTCGGCGCAGTAAACAGTGCGTAATCCCATTTATACAAATTACTTTAATGTATCATAATTAAATTACAATACAAATCACCTCATTTGACTGATGATAATTTGTAGTTTGATATATTGAAGTAATTTGGATAAATTGCACTGTTTACCGCGCTGACCATTAACGGCCCTCTTATTATTGATATTTTTGTTTCTTAAAAGATAATAGAAATCCTTTGTGATAATATTATTATTTCAATTTTATTATTTGATATTTAATTATTTCTATAAGTTATGCTGCTTCTATTCAATATATCATTAACTTAATTAAACAAATTTAACTAAAAAAATATATTAAATTTGACATAAATTTAATTTATTATTTACTAAACTCATAAGTTAATATGGACGTTATTTATTTTGAAATTAATTATAGAAATGGATTTACATTTGGCACACACATATATATATATATATATATGTGTGTGTGTGTGTGTGTGTGTGTGTGTGTGTGTGTGTGTGTGTGTGTGTGTGTGTGTGGAAGTTAAAAGTAACAAAATATTATTTAACTCAAAGAATTGAATTACTCTTTTGATATTTAACAATAACAATAATTCAGTAATTAACCCTCGACTGTTCACATTGCCAATCAATCACCTAATTTATAGATAAAAAGCAAAATACGTAACAAACATTTTGATTACTTATGAGTATAAATTATGATTATTTACAAACATTTATCGAAAAATATCTTAATATTAGCTTTCAACTGTTATATACGTTCGTAAATGACTTGAATACTTTTTTTATCAATATTCTGAGCAATAGCTCAATAAGGAGGCTTTTCTAATATTTTTTCACAATGAGAACAGAAAGAAGTTCGGACTTTATTCGTTATTTTGTCAAAAACAAATTTAATTAAATATATTCATCAATTAATTAAAAATATTTTCAAATGTACTTTAAATCATTAGTGATTTTATATTCATTTCAGTTTGAAATTAACAAAGTTTGAAATGATGGAAAATAAATTCATAGCTGCAAGTCATATTTTAATTACCTTAAAAGCATTTCTTTTGAAAATAATATTACTTTATATCTAGCGGGTAAATTTATTCATTCGGACATGCAATTGTATCATGACATTTCTCTCTCTCTCTCTCTCTCTCTCTCTCTCTCTCTCTTTTTCTCTTTGTCCTTGTTTTTTTTCTCACATCTCTTCTCAGAAAGTACCAGAAAGGCCATTCAAAACAACCGGAACAGTGCAAACGATTTCAACACAAAAGCAGAAGCGCGCGTTGACTACGTTATCAGCTATTATCGCGCTCATTTTCTCGTTGAATCTCATCTAGATAATCGGAAGCATTGTTTAAAATGGCGTTATCTGCGCGCTAAATACACCGACGTGCCCCTTTTCCTTTCTCGCACGCCCTTCGCGGCAGGTTCAATGAACTGTAATTGTGGTACGGAGACGCGGCCGTAAAACTCTACCTACGAGATTAGACTTGTGGCTTTTCCTTTATCATCCCGGTGGAACGTTGCAGCGCATCACCAGCGACGTTTTATCTCTTCCCGTTTTTCCGTTCACCCTTTTTCACCCCTCTCTTCTCCTTCGAGTCGCTCGTCGCGAATCGCCCGCGAGTTTTTTACTAGCGCGACGGATCGCACGTAAAATACCGAGACGAATCGCGGCGGAGCCGGGAGAACTGGCTTATAACGTGCAAACTGTGCAATACAATGTGATGCAGAACTAATTACGTTGAACGATTAAGCCCGGTAATTAACCCACTGGCAATCAACATCCACTATATTGGGCATAGCTTTATACTTGTGATATTTAAACGCACAGTTTTGAGAGAGAGAGAAGTTAGAGTTGAAATTGAAATCTTTCAACAATTTCAAAAAAGTAATATCTATTTATAAAAAATAAACATCAAGGTAACGATGAGTTCTTTTCTAAGGCAGAAGCATGAAAAATAAAAATTTTTATCATTATAAAGGTAATGCAGAATTTTTTTATTTTTCCATCCTAGAAAAAATGTCACATGAGCGTTATCCTGAGGAATAAAACATATCATAAGTTATATAGAAATATGGCATAATAAATTAAAAAATACAAAAAAAAAACACAAATTTGTTTGTAACAAAACATGTAAATTTGTACATGATAATATTCAAATAGAATAGAAATTTAGTTTGATCAAAGATAAGAGAATACGAGAATATAAAATTTAGAAAAATATTACATATACACTCTAAAAAATATCGGTATGCATTGACTATAATTGTAAAATTACATGGATACATTCTAAAAAATAGCGGCGTCTATATGTATAAATCTCATCTTATATTATTAATATTAATATCTCTATTAATATTAATATCAATATGATGTAGATTTAATATTATAGATTTTAGATACACACTATGGTAATGTTAATGTAAACACTAGAAATTTGAAATCCACATTATGTTAATATTAACACCAACGTGGCGTGGATTTCACACCTCTGGTGTTTACATTATTATAGTGTGAATTTAAAATCTATGATATTAAATCCACATCATATTGATGTTAATATTAATAGTGAGATTTATATATATAGACACTGGTATTTTTTAGAATGTATCCACGTAATTTTACAATTATAGTCAATGACTAAACTCAATACGATTGCACTCTTCTACTTGAGAGAGAATTACATAAATATGCGATCCACGATAATAATTCGAGGAACGCTTCAAACATTTATTTATTTTCCGTCAAACATAACGGTCAGCGATGTCAGTCTGAAGCGCACTGAGCTTTTTTATTTACTGCGTAACATGAACTGCAGCTACTGCATTTTACAGCTTGAAGCTTTCAGAATCGCAGATCGTAAAACAATGCGCCTTATACAACGCGGAATATTTAACGTCCAAATAAACGAAGAAAATGAACTGTAAATAACATAAAATCAATTACGCAGTCTTTATATTTAACCCATTTTCGTGTGAAATTTACGTATCAAAAATCAAATCATACATATATATAAATTTATAGCTTTGACATAGAATCGTAATCACAAATCATAATTTTCCACTTTCCGGTTTTGCCGGTTACCGTCGAATTTGCGCTATTACAAATGCGTCTTGTCGAGCGATCGACCATCTTGCTTGAACTTGTTGTTAACAAAGAACCAGTCATGGCGATTACCTGTCGAATGCCATTGTAAAGTGCGACATCCATAACCGTCCTTCGTGGTGGTCGAGACCCACCGATAAAAGTTCAGTCACGCCGTGATTTATTAATTATAAAGCATTGTGATCCGCGAAGCCGCATAGTTGCGGTTTCACGGTGATAAAGCAACACGCGGCGCTAAGGATTTCCATCTCAAAAATAGACTGCCGACTGATCGTCGATAAACGCCTTCGCGATTTATTTAACAGCGGCTTTCAATTGCGCTAATGTGGAACATATCTTTTCTTATCATCGCCGATTGATATTTCATATTTTATAAATTTAAAAATCAGATTAAAAATAATTATTCCATTAAAAGGTATCAAATAAGATACACGGTCAAGATTAAAAGATAAAAAAGTATTAAATAGCTTCACAATCGAGAGGATAATATAATACTAAATTCTAAAAATTCTAAAAACAGAAAGTTTTAACAAACCATGCAAAATACAATAATAATAATAATAATAATAATAAATTGATGTAAAAACGATTAATTAAAAAATAATAATCAACATAAAAAATTGAATCATAAAATTGCAGATAGTACAGTTTTAATTGAGATATAAATTAAGATAGCACAAAACTAATATTTAGAATTAAGATGACGTTTAAGAAATTCAGGCTGCAAGGGATCTTACAATTAGGTGACAAAACAAGCAAGAGGCGTCCCACAATGTTTCGTTGCCTCGTGGGCCCACAGATTGCGGCCCGTGTGTTGGCCCAATAGCCTCTTAACTGGTTATATCATAGTCTTTCGGGCCGTTTCTCATCCCAGCCTCCGTCAACATTTACATACTGAACGCGTGTACGAACGATAACTCGTGATACAACACGATAACTTTACAGAAACAGGCGGTAGGTCATTACGTGACATCGATCTTTGACATAATTTGACATGTTACTCTTTAATATCGATTTATATTATATACAACAATTCATATTCTACAACCTACAATTACTTAATTTATTTCACATTCATAAATATAGAAGCTAACGAAATAATGAAGGCTTTCTAATCTCGTATAATTTCTACTTTGATGTGACAAGTAATGTATAATTCAGTTTGTAAATTGAATCTTTGCCTTTAATGGAAATGAAAACAATTTCTCTCGAAGTAGATTTTGAATCCTTCATATAAAACAATGTTTATTGCAGTTCGGAGTAATTTATTGACATCTGCAAGAAGGCTGTTACTTTCGTTGAGCAGTCTACGACTGAGAGGATTAACTGTCGATTTCCGTATCGACGACCGATGTTGAGCCTTTCGCCACGCAGAAAATTGGAACTGCAATGTCATAGACTTGCCTTGCTTGAGTGTGCAA